GTAAGCATTTTTAGCGTTAATCTAGAGATTCGTACGTCGTTATAAAATGGTACCTACATACTTTCTGCGATCCTCGAGATCGTTTACAATTTTGTATTGCTGTCTGTCTGTCCGTCAGTCCGTGTGCACGATAACTTTGTGTAGAAACGTCCGATCGCGTTGAAAATTGATACAAATGTTCTTCAGGATATAAGAAAGGTCGCTATTGTTTTTTGGCTACGTAGACCAACGGGCCAAAAAGTTACAGCCCAAAAACTGCCCAAACCTCCAAAAAGGGTTTCTTTTATAACTCTTGTTACAAAGAACATATGAATGTCCGGTTTTCTGTGTTAGTATTCCTTAAATATTAGGCAACTAAGCAGATTAAAAAAAAATATTGCGCATTCCAACTTTTGTATTTGCGCAATCCCATTTTTTTTATTTGTTAAGATATTTAAATGAAATTTTGTATATAGGCACCTCAAATAAAAGTAAAAATAATGTCGTATCAAAAAAATTTGTTTTGCGCATGCGCAGTCGGTTTTTTTTATTTATTAAGATATTTCAATGAAATTTTGTATATAGGCACCTCGTATAAAAGTAAAACAAATGCCTAATCGAAAAACATGTTTTGCGCATGCGCAGTCGGTTTTTTTAATTTATTAAGATATTTAAATGAAATTTTGTATATAGGCACCTCGTATAAAACAAATGCCGAATCGAAAAATATGTTTTGCGCATGCGCAGTCAGATTTTTTTATTTGTTGATGTTTAAATGAAATTTTGTATATACGCACCTCGAATAAAAGTAAAACTAATGCAGATTTAAAAAATTTGTTTTACAAGCTATGCTGATCTGGTGGGATACAGTCAACCCCTTCGGTATATTGTAAAAATGATATATGTATGAAGATCTCGAGGATCGTTCGGTATTCAGTTGTATCGGATTTTTCTTTGAGAAACACTCCAAGTCCAAGAAAACAGCGCCAGGGTCTAGATAATATCGTTCAAAAGATGGAATTTAAAATCTTGTAATTTTACATGGACCATTATGTTTAGAGAATGAATTATATGATTTTGAACCAAAAAGGCCATGTTTATAGTTCGAACCAATATGGCCAACAACGACAAATTTCTTCAAAAAAGAACTTTTTGCAAATTTCATTACGAAATATGGAACAACCTATTAAGTTACATGTAACTATAAACAAATAACTTTACAGATCTTATGATTGCTTTTTAACAAGCGGTTACCACCTACCATACCTGCACTAGATGAGGATAAGCAAAACTGTTTGGTGATGATCTCTTTGAATTTGTTGTTGACAAATTTCTTCAAAAAAGAACTTTTTGCAAATTTCATTTATGGAACAACCTATTAAGTTACATGTAACTATAAACAAATAACTTTAAATGATTTTGAACCAGCAAAAGGATCTCCAAGATGTCATTCATTTTAGTTCGAACCAAAATGGCCAACGACAAATTTCTTCAAAAAAGAACTTTTTGCAAATTTCATTACCAAATATGGAACAACCTATTAAGTTACATGTAACTATAAACAAATAACTTTAGAGTTCTTATGATTGCTTTTTTACAAGCGGTTACCACCTACCGTACCTGTACTGGAAGAAGATAAGCAAAACTGTTTGGTAATGATCTCTTTGAATTTGTTGTTAACAAGATGTCATTAGAGCATGGATTAGATGATTTTGAACCAAAAGGCCATGTTCATAGTTCGAACCAATATGGACAACAACGACAAATTTCTTCAAAAAAGAACGGACGGACTGAGGTTGAAAGGAGTAGGGAAATGGGGAAAAGGATGGAAGATGAGCTGACAAAAGGGGATATTGATGTACAAGTACAACAGAGGGTGAAGATAGAGCTCACGAGAAAACAGTGGGTACAAGAAGCTAATAAGAGGGTAGTTGCCGAAATACCGTATGGGAGGGAAGAAAAAGTGTTAAGATAATGGGAAGGTTTAGATGCGGAAATGAGGAGAGAGGGGTGCAAAAATGGGGACCAGAAGAAGAAAGGAAATGTATAATATGTGGAGAGGGAAAGATCACATGCTATGGGAAAGTAAGGAGGTGGAAAAGGAAAGGAGAAGCAGGAGTGAAGTGCCGGAAGAGAAGTGTAAGAAGTGTAAAAAGTTTTGCCAAACGGCGTTGATAAGGTTTGATTGATTGATTTAGCAATTCTACATCTCGCCTGACTAGTCGAAATGCGTAGAGGGCACTGTGAATGTTGAATCAATTAAACTTAATTTTTGGAATTGCGTATGATATGGTTAAAGCTATGCACATATTGAATTTCATGCAATTCGGTTCATAACTAATGGAGAAGTCAAAAGGGCCTTCCTTATTTTTTGGCCTACATTGCCAATTCACGAACTCTGATCTACAAATTTGATAGGGAATCCACCTGCAAAATTTCATCGTCATCGGTGAACTCGGTTTCGAGATTTCGTGATAACGGACGGACAGGCACTACAAAATTTCAAACTCACTAGGAGCTGGTTAATAATGATATATTACTTAAACATAAAGGGTAAGAATAATGGGATGTGGCAACATTGCATTCTTAAACACAGTCTAGACTTAAATGATAGTAGCAACCAATAACACTCGATTTCAAATTTTTACTATAATAGTGACGTCCTTTACACTCCCCCCACGAATTTACCGTACAGTGACTACGGTTGTCACTACTATATAACGTTATAGAACACGTAAAATGGAGTGTAAATTATAATTTCTAGTAGCATATTATTCGTAACAGATAGCACTACCTACTGTGCTAAGGAAATGGAGAATGTCACTTTATGGTCCTGTAGTATGGTTGTCACTATCATTCTAAAACCTGTAGGTGTGATTCTGTTTGTGTGTGAATCGAAAACCGCAAGTCTCTATCTTTAAAAACAGCTGAAACCACTGAAGCCTCAATCAAAATGGGACACACGGTACATACATACAGACGGAAAACATTTTTATTCATTAAAAGTTTCTTCGCAAATGATATAAAAGGTCGACATTTGGTGAAAGTTTCATATATCTAAAGATGGTGATCGCAATAGTCACTTAGCTCGAGATGGATTTTGTTCGAATTTTGAATATGAACCTAGGCATGCGGAAACCAAAAATTTTTGAAAAAAACATTTTGGAGTACCGCAACGGCAATGTCAGTAAAAAAATTAAGATATTTTTTCGGCAGAACGCGGTGTTCCCAAGCGGTCACCCATCCAAGTACTGACCGCGCACGGACGAGAACTGGTGTTTTCAACGTGGTATGGCCGTTGTCCATTGTTAAGAAGAAGATGCTCAAAACAAAATAAGGAATCCAAAACAAGGCAATTTTCAATTATGTACCAATAAAAAAATTGACCGTAATTAATAATTCTTTAAGATAAAACATCCAAATTGCGTTGAATTCTGTAAGAGGTCAACAAAAATTTTCCTGCGGGAATTTGAACAATTAGTGTGTTGGCGGCGTACACAAATATCAGCAAATTAATATTTCTTTTGGCTGTGTACATTAGAAATAAAGGATGTATCATGCAAGACTCAAAAGACTGTAAAAAAAGTTTTTTTTCAATACTTGGTTTGAGTCTAGGAAGCTGTTCTGTAAGGAAAATTTGGCACATGGTTTTATTAGTAATCCTAATCCAAAACAATTGACTGTGTTTATTATTACTGTTTTTTTTATTTTAATTTGGTATTTTTGTTTACATAAAAATAAAAAAGTGTAAAAAGAAAAAAAAAAAATAATCAAAACGAGTTATAGTTGTTTTTTATAAATTCTACCTAACAAAATAGTTTTAGAAGTTACCCTCAGCCTCACTTACCTTACCTATTCGTTCATTTTCTGGACCAACCATTCACTATACTCACTACGTATACAGGTTCAGAACTCTTAATTGAAAGAGGGCTAGGTCAGGGCCACACAAATAAGTTCCGAGGCAAAAAACTGCGAAATCAATTGCCGCATTTTTCAAAAAATTGTTTATAAATAAAATTATTAATCGGCCGCGGGGATACACAATTATAATATACCTACCTACTTAGACCCCCCCCCCCAAAGATTGACGAAATGTTCGGACTTCGGAGAATGAAAACAACCGTTACAGCTTTTAAATGTCTATTTATAATTCGCTACGTGCACGTCATTGCCAGTACTTTTCCACTGCATAAATATTAGGAACGGTATGCACAAGCCGACAAATTACATATCATTTTTATTTGATAAACCAAAAGTATCAACATAATATACTATAATAATACTATGTCACTTAAAAACTAATAACTGACTAATGCGCCTTCCTTTCACTCAAAATAAAAATTGAATACGTACTTAGATATAAAAATATGAGTGGCTACAACCACTTTATTATATCATTTATTATTATTTATTACATTTTGTGTATAATCCGAAACTTGAAAAACTTGTTTACTAATAGGTATATTTATAGAAGCGATAAAGCCACATTATTTAATACAATCGAACAATTTTAAGCTAATTATCTATGTAATTATACCTAATATAATTTGATTTTTAAAACAGCCTAACAAGCTTTTATTGTACTTATTATATTCGTTTACTTATAAAACGTATTTTCACACCAATTACCTGGAATGTGCTACAAACATTGCACGGCTATCAATCAAGTACTTAGCCGAATTGTAGGTATTTTAACTATGCAAAGCTTAACATTTTATAAATTATGCAAAACGTAATAATATGCAGTCTTATGGTAAAAACTTCCAAAAGTCGTATGTTACACCCATTCAAATACCCAATGAAAAACAAATTTGACCGTACTACTTACAACATGTATTAAAGCCCATTTGAATTATTGAACTACATAGATATCACAGGTCACTTTCAATGCTAACCTGAACACCCAACGTAGTCGTTATCGTGGAGTAGTGACGGTCGCAGAAGCACCCAACCCAACCACAGGGTAAACACTACTTTTGGGGATGCTCATCTTTCGATGACTGAACATCCATACGTCCGTTTCATGAACTGGTGCGTTCGTCGTCACTGTCTTTACTTCTTAACGAACGTTTCAGTTTGTCCAAAAGACGATTGTGGAACTTATTTAAACTGGTTTGCGAGTCCGATTTGGGAGGCGACGACCCCATACTTTTACACGGACTCTGCAAACTGTTCTGTGACGTTCTTGAACTCATCCTCGAGTACTGGCGGGACATGTTCACGGGGCCACTGCGATTTCCAGGCGAACCCACCATAAAATCGGACCCCGGCGATGTCGACAAACTCGGTCCCTCAGATTTGCATTCGGACACTTTTCTTGACCTACACGATTGGGTATTCGAACACTCCGATATACGGCGGCTTCGATTGCACTTGTAAATATCCCAGTCGTTTTTAACCACCGGCATCATGAAAGCCATTTCGAACTTCGGGTTTTTTTTTATTGCTGAATAGACACTTCGGAAATTACACGCGATTAACACCACACATGAAAATTTTCTAGAATGAAGCATTGCACTTTTAGTTTTTGCTTTTATGTACGCCGCCGACGTAGTGTACTACATACGTAAACCTCATTGGTTGAAATTGAAAGTGGGGGAGGAAAACGAAATGCGTTTCAATCGGAAATAAACATTGGAACAGCGCTGCCCCCAACGTCGAGACTTCAGATAAATTCGCTGCTTCCTTTTAACAAACGTAGATGGCGACACCCCATTACACGCCAGTGGCGTGCTCATGACCTTTAAATATAATTTTGTATTCAAAATTAAGATGAAAGCAATTTTATATTACAAAATGACAAATTATGGGGGAACTTTATAGTTGAACATGTAACTCGTTCATCGGAATCCGTAATCGTACGGGTTCGATTCGTCTTATAAAAATAAGTATCTAGCTATAAATAATGGTATGTGCTCAACATTCCTGACTGATGTATCAATCACGATTAGGTTGCATTTGCACAAAAAAAGCTATGTCATTATCCCGCATGACAAGATCCGAGTTTCTATTTTAGATGGGTTGTTAAATTAAAAACATAAATGGGGAAAGTTACACAGTATTTGAGTTACAATCTGCAGATTTTATTAACCAACCCAAACATTACCTAATTTTTGAGAGCAATATGAAAATCTCTAAAAACGAGTGCCAATGGCGGCTGGAAGCGGTCGCGAGTGATGAAGTGACGAGAGACGAATTCAAATTGTTAAGTCAATGTTAAATAAAACTCCATAAATATCAGTTTAAAGCAGGGATCCGGACCCAAATGAAATGTCGGTTCCGGTTCTGTTTATATTTAAGCGAAAATATTTATAACGGTTCCGGTCCGGTTTCGGTTTTAAAAAGAAATAACGGTTCTGTTCTGCGCATTTTTTTCGGTCCATAACGGTTATTTGCGGTTCTAGTCTTTTAGAAAGTATGGCAGTCAAAAAATTCATTATAACAACGTGATTTGTTAATTAATAGGTGCGAAAAAGAAGTCATGAATACCAAAACGTGACGTATCGTCAGTGTGGCTAGTAATTTATAACAAGGGGAATAAAGGAGGAAGAGGGAAATGTGTATTTAAACTTAATTTATTACTAAAAAACAGAAAAATACACAAAAAGTAAGAAAAATACGACTTGTTTTTTATTTTTATTTTCGAAAACATCGCCCCTCCATTTATTATTTGCATTTACAGTAGTTGCTAAATTAGCGCCACCGCCACCCGTAATACCTTCAATTTCGACACCTTATTAAACATTTATAATCCACCGTAAAAAAACCGAAAAAAGTAATATGGGTTCCGGTTCTCAATACGTTTCCATTTCTGAAGGAATAACGGTTTCGGTTCGGTTTTCGGTCCAGAAAAAAATACCGGTTTCGGTTCTTTTACGGTCCGATCCGGGTCCCTGGTTTAAAGTAAATCATATTTTTATCAAACAAGCATATTTATATAGTTGTTCGCTAATAATGTCTGTTTTGATGTCGAAACGTGTTACTTTGTGGAAATCTGAAAAATTAGGAATGTTAGATAGCAAAAATTTTTGTGCAATTGAAAAGTTTGGAAAAAATTTGAGGGTAATTTCAATTTGCAATGCGCCTCAGACATTTTCTATCCATGTCACGGTCATAATCTTAAAGCGCCTCCAGAAGCAAAATCTTGGCTTCAGGACTTTCTTCCTCATCCTATCGGGCACTCCAGCAGCAGAACTTTCAAACACACACGACGGGGGTCTCGGACGTCACGTTTGAGATGAAAGCGAGTGCTCCGGCTGCGCCAGGTAAGGGAGAGGGCTTCACCGAAGCAGCGAACCCAGTTACGTAATTGAGGCAGAAGAAGCTCAATCCCTTGTTATGGACATCCAAGGGGCGTCGGGATTACTATCGGTACCTTCAGAGGTCGACGAGTTTTTGGCTCGTGTGGCGTTCGTGGCTTGGGGTGGAAACGTCGGTATCACTAAGAAAGGGGGGAACGCAGTATGCATGAACATGAGTGATGGACGAGGTATCCTTACACAGCAATTTGCAGCACAGAAGGTAACTTGTTGTAAAGTAGACAGGCGTATGCCTCATTCCAGAACCATGAGTTTATAGAGGAGGCGTGAGATGTCGGGGCCAGGTGGATGACTCTCTTTATTATAAAAGGTACAGCCAACTTAATTCTAGGACTTGCATTTATGTCGATAGACTAATCGAGTTTAACTGCATCAAAACGGGAAAGCGAACAACAAGTGCCTGTGACAGACGCAAGGGACAAATGACATTCTCCTGTAATATTGCCAAGTCGTATGTCATCTGAATGGTTCTAGCAGCTGATTGGTCGGGCTTATTACGTCACAGGGCCCGCCACAAGCATCTCGTTTTGAATAAACCCCTAATACCGCACATGTTCATTATTTATTTTCTAATCAGCCACTATTTTTAAATAAACTTTTACTGTCCAAAAAATTGTTTTATGGTATTGCCTGCAACCATTGTTTTATACAATGCTGCAACATTTCTCTATGGACCTCCAACCATATATCACTGGGGCCGCTTGCAGACTTTTGAACTAAATTTTTTTTCACAACCCACCACCATTTATACTTCCACAAGTCCGACCATATGTAGCACATTTCGTCTTTTTGTTGCGCATCGCCACATGGTCTAGTGGACACATTATGGTACTAAGCTTTTCCATTACAGGAATTTTTGTGTCAGGTGATATAGTACCTTTGGTTGGAATTTCCCCTATTATAAAATAAAGCTAAATAAAATTTAAACATAATTAACTGCACGCTTGTCATATATGCGGAAACTACGTTGAATTTGGTGTGCAATTAATATTCAAACTAATTTAATAAATTTCAGTTATTTTCTTAATTCTCAAACTTAGATAACTTTGAATCTGCCTTCTCACGCCAAAGTAATATTTTACAAATACAACATTTGTGCTATTCAGAAGGCTATTTACTGACAGTACAGAGGACTTTTCTATCAAAAAAATATTGACAATGTTAAAATAAACGTATTTTGTGTTAATTTTCAGTGTGTAATTATAATCATGGTCACATTCGAATTATGCAATATTGTTAATTTCAAATTATTTTGATTTTGACAGGGGTAGATTCGAATTTCGCCTCTAAATTTTTGCCCCCCCCCCCCAAATTGTTGGTTCCACCCGCCTCTGCGCACCCAGATGGAATTATAGGGACCAACATTTACAAAAAAAATCTCTTTGAAGGAGATACTAAATATTGACACTATAATAGTTATTTTGAATTATAATTTAATAAGGATTAAGGAAATGGAAGAAAGTTTAAGATTTAAATATTTATTTAAAAGAACGCCCAGATATATACATTATTAAAATAATTACATACATGGTACTAAAAAAAAGTCAACTCTTAACAATTTAAGGAAAAAGTGAGTTAATAGTAACATAAACGGTTCATTCTTAAAACATTTCAGCCTTGTAAAGATCAAATCTTTCTGATCAAATTGTTTCCCTTCAGTTGATCAATATAATAAATCACTCCCTTTCAAAGAACAAATCGTAAAGTGTAAGTTTCGAACGATCGTCAATACATCTAAATTTCTCTCAACAATGTCCTCTATTCTTCATCGAACAGTTACAAAATAAGCAGAATCTACAACTATTATAAATAATACTAAAGCTACTTTACAATAAATAAAAATGTGATATACAAAAAAAAATGGTTGTGTAATAGAGTTTAATAAATAAATTGCGATTACGAGAAGATATTAGCAACCCCAACGGTCATCGTTTTGAAACTCAGTGAAATCGGAATAGGCTCCCTACAAATCGTAATTTCAAGACTAGGTTGCGCAAACCTTTTCACCATAATCACTAAGAACAATTTACGAGGAGAAGAAAGTGGCAGGAAACCCTTTAGCACCAATAATTACTAAAGTTATCATTTTCTATAATGAAAAGTGTAATATCAACTATTTTGTACCAACTATATATCAATTAGAACAAAAAGGAGAGTTTTGGAATTATTGCTAAGTAAATTTTCCGCAAAAATATAATTTCACGTGAGCAAATTTCAACGGCAGATAAACTATAAAGTTGCCAATTTACAATATACAAATATTATAACTAGTGTGATTTATGTAGGTACAGAATACATATTTACATTCTCTAACAATAAAAAAATATTTTGCTTCTAACTGTGTAAATAACAGGTAAGTCTAATTTATTTTTCCCAGAAAAATATATATTAATTGTAACAACAAACAAAATGTCACTAGAATTTGTAAACCTCTAGCAATAAATATTAACACTTAATGAGGCACTTAAATGCATTTTGAAACAATCATGAGTTAGTGCTAGACTTTGGTTTGGGATTCCATAATTTATTGCTAACTGTTTGTGGAATAACGGTTAGCGATTTCGGTATTTTCGGCAGTAGCATGCTCGAAGACTCGGCGAGTTTACTCTCAAGATTCTCCACAGTTTTATCTAATTTGTCTAAATTATTCTCCATCTCCGGCGTCTCCAAATCATTTTTACTTGGACTTGTAGCTTTTGTACTGGGTATACTCTTACGTGGCAGAATGGGACGAAAGTGGGGGCTCGCATTATGCGCTAATCGCTTCTGTTTTAAATCGTAACTTTTCTTAATGGCGCACATGCGATTGTAGTCGTCCATCGTAATGTGGTAGGGCTTGCCACCTGACATTACTTTGACGAAGCCCGGTTTCTTATCAACGTCCGATGACTTACTCGGGTCGATGGGAATCAAGTTCGGTCGCCAATTCTTAGTTATTGGTATTTTAATTTTTTGAGATTGGGGAACCTTCATCAGAGACGGCGCAACCGGGCGCGTTGTGCCAGGATGTAACGAAATTAAGCCAGGAGGAATGCGTGTTTTTGTGGGTGCGATATTGGTAAGTTGTGATATTGTAATGGGTGTATTTTTAGGAATATTGGCAGCGTTAATTAGCGACAATTGCTTGGGTGATATGATATTAGGATTACTTTTTTTTACGGTTTGCACGTAACTAATATTATGAGGTACGTTATCGTATGCGCGTAGACGATTTTGAACTGACTCGCTATAATTAATAGAGTGATGACTCGCTGTGGGCGAGAGTACTAAATCCCCACTGCGAAAATATTTTTCTAACAGTACCAAGTGTCTTAAAAAACTGCTTTGATTGCCGTAAGGTTTTTGTAACTCTTGCCACAGTAACTTTGTGTCATTATCGTACTGAATGATAGAGCAACATTTCTCCCAACCCTCCGGCGTCTTTTCTTTAACGTTACCGAACTCGATGTAACCTTGCAGACCTAGCTCTTCTTCACCTGGGAATAACTGGCGCACAGATATGCAAGGATTACAGCCTAGTCGTTCGACTGCAGTATTTTTACCATGACTGTTACTTTTAGCTTTGATTGGAGATGGGTGCGTTCTTTCATTAACATTTGAATCAGTTTTTAAGGTGTATTTGGTTGTGGGAGAGATAGTTGTTTCGCGTTTCGAATTTTCAACGTCACTCCCGCAATCCATCGCTATACTGGGGATTAGAGTATGATAGTCAACCATATAATCAGAAGGGGACTCTGAACGCGAAGATTTACTGTCTGCGGATGTTTTGGTATTTGTTTCTGTATGGATGTCCTGCTCTAATCGAGATGGTTCTCCATTTAATAAAGTTTTTGGTAAGCGTTTTTTTCTTTTTGCCGGCTCCTTTTCAACTTTATCTTTAACTCGATCAGCCTCTTGTTCTTCGATAACTTCTTCGCCCTTTTCGACGTCATAAACATTCAACAATCTGAAAATAAAATACATGCTCCAATATTCGAAGTTGGGTACAAGCATACAGTAAACAAAAGATAGTGAGACGATTACACAAGGTAAGGTAGTCTAGTTGCCACTAACAGTAACTCTCAAAATAATCCATGGGGGGGATCTAAATTCGGTGGTCGTCTGGCACACCCTCAAAAGGGATACCGATTCAGTCACACACAACTCCACGCCCTAATCGTGCGAGAATACCTATTGGATAAATTTCCTGGAAAATTCTCGCACAATTAGGGCGTTCTGCGCGGGTGCACCATCCTGTTGAAATCAATTTTTGTTTTTTTTATATTTGTAATAAAAAATGCTACATTTTTTAAGGGCCATATAAAAAATAAACTTTGCAATTATTTCACAAAACGAAACATTGTATTGAAAAACTCTCAACAGTCTCTTGTAGAGCTCAAAAAGTGGTAATGAGAAAGTGGTCTTTTATTTTTTTGTATTTGTGCATTTTCCTATTCCTATTCCTATAGTTATATATTTGACCTTAACCTTAGGTTATACATATCTGGCCGCAATTGAAGAAGGTCCTAATATTGGTAGCAAAGGAGATATGTGGTACAATCGTGATTGAGTAAGATAAGAAGCAAATGAGATGGTGGAACCAAACGCTAAAGGAAGAAATAAAACTAAAAACACAAGTTACAAAAGTAATCGTACTGAAACCTCAGCCGAATTGGTTTTCAGCCATTAAAAAAAATTGGTTCTGGGCATGCAAATCCTTTTTTTTAATGTGTGTGTTCAATTCGCTTTTATAAGAAGTAGAATCAGTGAAAATTTCAGAAAAACTGGTTCATAAACAAAGAGAGCATGTAGGGCGCATGCGCAATCGGTTTTTAGACACTATTTCCAGTTAGTTTTATATGTAATTTTTGTTTTGGCTTTCTTTATTTCTAGTTTCGTTCGTGTCGAATGTATTCAACAATATTTCCAATTGGTATAGTGACGATAACAGTTTAAGGAGCGTAAAGAGACTTATTTTCGGTGTTGATTACTTTAAAATTTGTGGTTGTCTAAATGTGATGCACATAAAACACCGTAAACAACCCTAATTTTTAACGGAGGATGTGAAAGTGAACATTTTAATTTTTGAGGAAGAGAATTCCATAACAAACTCAAGGTAAATAGCGGCCGAATTTAATAACCTTTTCATCACAACCTAACCTACTCTTTCCTGTCGCCAAACAACCTATTTAAAAAACAACAACTAAGATATGAATTCTTTTAGTAATGCATTGCAAAATCCAAAATGGCAGTGCAGAGTGCGTGCGCATGAAATATTTTGGTTGCAGAAAATTAGGCGTCTTTCAGAAGACATTTAGTCATTTAAAAGTAGACAGGGAAAACAATACGCACAAATCCCTATGTCTACTTCATAATGAATAGCACTGTATAGAAACTACGGACATTTTATTGGGACCTAAATAATCATTAATAATTGTATTGATTCCGCGCCATGGTCATATTATGTCTGTCTCACTATCTATTCTTTTTACACTGCGCTATATAGTGTCATCAGGACACAAAAATGCATACAAAAACATATACAGTCGAAGTGTTAACTTACCTCTTTTTATACTCCGTAAAGAACTCTATCGTATTTTCTGAACGTTCCTCAATTGGCTTCATAACTAAAGACGCAAAGTATCTACACAATTTACAAACTACAGGCCTATCAATTAATTTTACAGGTATGCCTTCCTCGCAAAGAGCGGCGCTTAATTCGGTCAGCTCGGAGCCCAAGTAATGTACATGATTTCGGGCCAGTTTTCTCTTGCACATCGCACAGACCATCAGATGTTCGACTGCGAGATAATGTTCGGAACAAATCGGTATCGAATGAAGCCCTGGATTTTCTAAGTCAATGTTGATCTACAGAAAAAGACACAGTATTTTTGGCTTCTTAATTCTTATGGGAGCATTACCACTTCTCGGACGCTTTTCCGCATTTTGATAAGCCACTTGCGTCGCAATATATTTGTTGCAACGATACCGCATCCCAGAACATGGCAGTGATTTTGGCGCGGACCGGGGGCAACAATACTATTTCGTTTACTTCCTTTGTTTAAATACGAGGGGGTGTTCGACTTACGGTCGACATGACGATAGCACGCATCACATAAACACGAATCTCGCATTAAATGCTTTTCAGCTAAAAAATGATTTATTACTATTATTATTTTAGAATGCATTTGACCTACTTTGTAATATCTTATCTTGCCTTTCGATGCTTTTCATCTGCGCAATATGACAAGGAGTGTCGAATAAACCGAACTTTCCAAAACAGTACGAACATTCATCCTTGCACAGCCTATCCGGATGAATGCTAAACGAACTAGCTTTCTCCGGAATAACGAGAATTTTTCCCACATCTTCACCGTCGATGTTTGCCCCATCTCCATCGGACGTATGCTCGCTGCTACCATCTGTTAAAGGTAGGTTTTTATAAGTTGGATGAAATCTAAACGATAAACTATTACGGGTGCAATACAACTCCAAATTAAAGTAGTGCAAGTGATAAAAGAGAAATGATCTAAACTACTGGTAGGTACCATAACCATAACATGCAAGATTCTACAACAGTTACAGTTACAAAAAACCGAGAGTGAACTACGTAATTACAGAGTGATAGGCCCGAAACCGTGTTTTAATTACCCATGTTAGATCTGTTAGAATAGTGAGACTTGCGAAGCGCACCCGCGGTGTCAGATGACTGCACGCCATATGATCGCCAACTACTTCCCGTAATCTGCAAAGAAAATAAAATACTTTTAATTTTATTTCAGAAAATGCAACTAATAGATTTCAGATAATTTGGAAGAAGTTTTTTTTATTGAATTGAGGTTTTACAAGCAATAGTTGTAAAACAACTTTAAAAAAGCATTGGGAGAGTGGGAGTTATTAGTTGTGAGAAAAAAGTATTTTGGCTCAAGTTGGGAGTTTCACAAAAGCTGGTCTGCTACCTGCTAGACAGAACTGTATGAGATCAATTGAGGTATACAAAATTGAGATATACTCCTACCATTTTCAAGGTGGCCCTACCAATATGGCAAATGATCCAAGTTGGAATTCTTACAGCATGCGTTTCAGGCGCTTTGTTATGCAATTATTGTTTAATGATAAAGAAAGGTAGAATAAGCATTTTTTGAATTAGAACAGTTCTAAGATTTTCTGTAACGGTCTATAATATCGACAACAAAAATACATAGTACATCGCGTATTAGTGATTTATAAAGTTTATCCTGCATCGTTGCTTGAGGTGAGGTGAGAAATCAGGAGCTTCAAATACTTACAGTGTGAGTGTAAATAAAGTCTGCAACTATCACAATAAAACTTTTAGTAAACGTTTTTGAAAAAAATCCTCAAACACGTCAATTTTTATCTTAAATGAGATATATTTCACTGCAATTGTCAGTACAGGATCGTCTTTTGTATTTGAGATCTGAAGTAGGTAAGCGACAATTTTTTTTAATGGACACCCTATATTTTATACTGAAATACGCTTAAAAGTATGATACTTTATTTCGAAATATTCGAGATATTGTTTCAAATTCGCTCTTTTTCATTCAAAGTCAAATATCGCATCACTTACTTACACAAAAACCACACAATAAAACAATCATCATTTTAACGGCAATTATTACATGGTTACTTGATTTTTTTATTGAAAACGTTTACTGAAAATGTATTGTGATAGTTCCAGACTTTACACTCGCACTGTATAATTTCTAGCATTGAGCATTGATTATACAGTGTGTATAATCAATGTTTCTAGCAAGAGTTTTAAAAGGAACTCTTTTGCTGGAGGTGTGAGCTGTTTTTGGACTATAACTTTTTGACCTGGTGGCCTAAGTTGTAAAAAAACAACAGCGGCCTTTTTTATATCCTTATAATACATACATATGTAGACCGAGATGTAGACTAATTTTCAAAGCAATCGGAATTATCTAAAACTGATTTTGGATTCGATATTTATTCGCACCCCCGTTTATTTGCACCATTTAGACAAAAAAAAAACAGAAAGAGCACAGGTACTTACAAACTTATGCAAAGCCGCATGTTCCAAAATTACAGAGAAAAACGCAATTTTTGAGATTTTCGAGGGCGTAGCTCGCATAGGAAACATTTTAGAATTTATTTGGAAAAGCGATTATTGAACCATAAACTTTTTTTTACAAATTTTCTCATATTTCATAAATGAAATAAACTGTACCAATAATGACAACGAGAGACAAAGTCACTTCCGGTTGACGAATATTAATCAAAATTTAATCAATAAGTCCCTTGACCATTGTTTATCTATTGCTAAAAACAGAATTGGAAAATTCGAAACTGTTTGTGAGTTATCGTGTCCACAGAGGAGAGAGAGAGAGAGTCCAAAATCATAAACTCGCTTTTTGTAGCTCGTTAACAAAATGATAAATTACGAACGACGATAGCACAAACAGGTCGATAAATACCTTGAAGGTGTGCCAGACAGCCATCAAATTTCGCTGTCTAAAAGGGGGCCCCCCCCCACAAATTATTTCCTGAGATGCTGTTTTTGAAAGTAAAATGTGCATAACTGTAGTACGACAACCAATTGGTCTCAGCTTTTGCATACGCATGCCTTTAGTGGTGCCAAGTTAAACTTTGGAAAATGGGGGGGGGGGCACATTTTCTACCATTCATGGTATTCTAATGAAAGGTCTCATCGAAATAAATTGGTTTGTACAAAGTATAACCTTCCCGTGCAACTCGTTTTCGAGATCAGTGAGCGAGGGATAGGGACACGGTCAACTCGCCAAGGGCGACTCGGCACCGACCGACTCGCCAACGGGACAACTCGCCGTTGTCGCAGTGGCGAGTCGTCCGTTGGCGAGTTGTCCCGTTGGCGAGTCAGTCGGTGGCGAGTGGTCCGGTGGCGAGTCGCCCCTGGCGAGTTGACGCGTACCGGTGAGCGACGGGGCCTGAGGGGGGGGGGGGGGGTTAAAAATTAATGTTATCCCTCATTGTATTCTAACTAAAGGTCTCAATGAAAAGAACAGTTTTCTACAGAGTACTGCCCTTCTTTCTGTCCTCTTATTAAAGTAGGGGGGGGGAGGGTGGAACTAGAAATATAACCTACCGATTCTTTTTCAAAATTTGGTTTTGCGCATGCGCAGTGCCAACTTTCTTATTTATGGAGGCATTTAAATAAAATTTGATACATAGCCACTTGGAATAAAAGCAAATATAACGCCAGTTTCAAAATTTAGTTTTGCGTATGCGCAATATCAAATTTCTTATTTATGGAGGGATTTAAATGAAATTAGATATATAGCCACTTGGAATAAACGCACATGTAGCGCAATTTTCCATATTTGATTTTGCGCATGCGCAGTGCCAACTTTCTTATTTATGGAGGAATTTAAATGAAATTTGATACATAGCCACTTGGAATAAAAGCAAATGTAGCGCCATTTTCCAAATTTGGTTTTGTGTAGAATGTGCAGTGTCAACTTTCTTATTTATGGAAGAAATTTCGTAGGGGTGTTTAAAAAAATGCGCTTTACGTGCACAAGGGTTGTGCACAATTTGTACTTGTTATTCACATATTCAAAATAATACCCTTAATACTTAAAAGTTAAAACAAAACTTAAACACTGATAGTAGACTGCCAACATCAGACATTCTTGGTGCATGATTCACATATTGAATACCACAAAATGTACAAGTAGCATATTTTTTTGATTTTTGAATAGTTTTTTGTATTATCTCCAGACAATTGTGTCTGTTTTTACCGTTTTTTTACGGAAGAGCTTCAAACACTTTTAGTTTTACTGTTTACTGTTTGAAAGTTAACATTTTGAGGTTAGGAAAATATTATTGGTGAAAAAGCTGGTCACTTTTAAAAACGACCGAGAAGTTTTAAAAATGATCGATGACACGATCATTTTTAAGCATTTTTGTGGTCACGTTGAGCATTTATAAAAGTGACGACCATCACTACGGGCGGGGCGGGCAATGCACTCTACTAAATTATTAACTATCCTCGAGATCGTTTATAATTTTGTATTGCTGTCTGCCTGTCTGTCCATTTGCACAATATAAATAAATGATTTTTATTTTTTTCTCGATAACGGTCACAAATACGAAATTGAAAGTTTTCATCTTTAACGCATTTTCCATAAATTAATCAGTACTTCTCGAAAGGTCATGTATTTATGTCTACCAAGGAAAAAAAGGCATAAATATTCCTATAAGAAAGCGCAGCGCATACGCACACCTGATATATTTAAAATATGCGATATGTTTCCCTTTACTAGAAAAATATTTGGTTAACATTTCAAAAAAATATCTCTAAATAAAAAACTGCACATTTCACAGTATGCGCATCTGCATCTGATTTTTCGGATATGCGATATCTCGTCTTCACTGGAACCATTTGTGGTTAAAATTTCAAAAAAATATCTATATAAGTAATAAGAAAGTTCACATTGCGTAGTCTGTTCATGCGCACATAAATCGTCAATGTTTTTCTTGGCTCGGGTGCCAGAGCTATACCTAAGGTACCGAATGCAAAAAGAACGAATTAAATATCTTGGAAACTGTAAGAGTAGTTAAAGCCTCGGACGAAGAGAGTGGCCATAATAGCACCTTCCAACATGAGTTGGAAAGTTCACTAAAAATGACAAGAGACCAAAAAGTTTTGAAACAAATCACAAACAATGTCAGGGGTAGAAAATGGAACATGTGCAAAAAATTCCCCAACTCTAGGACAATTTCTGTAAAAAGTTCAAAATCGCAGAAGTGGACCCGGACGGAAGGGACAAAACGAGGGACAAAACCTCGGACAAAACGCAAACAATAGCACATTTTTTTAAAAATTTATTTTGCTCAGAGCAAGAGAGAGAGAGAGAGAGAGAGAGAGAGAAAGAGAGAGAAAGAGAGAGAAAGAGAAAAGTTGACATCAAGTACTAGAAGCGTCTGTGGTTAAAATTTAAAAAAATATCTCCATAAATAAGAAAGATGACATTGATGCGGACATATGCTTTTTATAGTGTGATATGCTTATCTTTACTAGAAGCATGTATGGTTAAAATTACAAAAAAATATTTCCATAAATAAGAAAGTCTGCCCATGCGCACATTAATCATCAAGATTTTTCTAGGTTGAGGTATCAGAGCTATACGCTACCGAATGCAAAAAGAACGCTTAAGCCTCGGCTTAAGCACTGTAGTAGTTAAGGCCTCGGACGGACGGAGAAAGTGGTCATAATAGCGCCTTCCAACATGAGTTGGAAAATGAGCTAAAAAGTTATTTGAAAATATTTACATTGTACAATGCACTGCGTGCTGCCTACATAATCAATGGTGTAGGCAACCTCGTAGGCAACACATCATACAATTTAGCTGAAATTTCGTTTTTTCATAAATCAGTGTTAATAATTTTCATTTGATGTGTTAAGTATCTCATAATGAATCATATCATAATAATCATTGAAAAAGTTTTGAGAGAGTTGGCCCTCGCTTTGGCCATCAAAATTAATGGTTAGTTGCATCGGTTAATAATTTTAAGTGGAGGTTCATTTTATCAACATCAGTCCTGTGGGTAACAGTTACGTGAAAAAAAGAGGGTACTCAGTACAACGTTAAGGTTTGAATTTTGCTTATCATCTGCTCGACTTTTAATATGTAATTGTTTAAGAATCTTCAGCTATAGCTATTTTTAAAAATTTGAAAACTCAGTTTTTCCCAAAAATAGTAATCTCTTTTATTCTCTTCATCAACGAACACCAAACACATTGAAATTGATTAAGAAATAGATATAGGGATTTACGGCATGTATTTTTCCCTATGTCTACTTTTAAATGGCAATGCAACCAAAATAACTTAAAACTATAGATCAGGCTGTCATTTAATTAATTTGAATATTGTTGCTTTGGCTTCCGTAATTGGTATAGTGCCAGTAACAGTTTAAGGTAGTGTTAAGAGATTTAATTTCTGTGAAGCAAAATAGCAACAATATTCAAATTAATTAATACCTACGACAGTCACATCTTTATTTGTTTTAAGAAGTTATTTTAGTTGCATAAAATTAGGCGCCCTTCAGGAGCGATTTTGCCATATAAAAGTAGACATAGGGGTCACAATACAAAAATCCCTGTCTATTTCTTAATAAATATCACTGTAGATATTTTTGATTTATGACACAATAGCATTTGTTTCTCGATTGTTTCTTTTAAATCAAAGTCGAATGAAATTTAAAAACTAATTGCATCAAGAATCTACCCTTATTTACCAGGGTAGAAGAATTCATTTCTACTAAATCGATTATAGCAAACTTAATTGAAACTTGTTAATGAAAGTTAAGTTGTCATGGAATAACAATAAAGTAGACCTATCATCAACGTCAGTAGAAGATGTCACTAGTGGGCGTTGTGGCCATCAAGAATTATTTTCAGAAAAAAATATTACAGAATTACTCTTACCTCTTTGTTTTTCTGTTCATCATCGGCGCCAGTTCCGTTGGGCTCATTTTCTTTCGCCTTCCCTTTATGTTTTTGGAGGGTAAGTTTGAAGCTACCGCGCCCCTTCTTCTTCTCGCCACGATTGAGTTTAATCACAGTTTTCAGCGTCCCAGTATAGTCACTTTTACTCGGCTTTTCCTTTTTCGCCTCCTCCGCCTCCTTCAAACTTTGTAAACCTAACGCCTGCAGAATGTCGCCCTTCAGCGTCAGATTTTCGACATTTTCATCCTTGTTCAATGGGGCGCCGACGTCCACCTTTTGGGATGCGTCGATACAGTCCTCCTCCTCCTCCTCCAAACTGGCGATGATACTTGCGCAATCGGCCGCTATTTGTTCCACGGTATTGTCGTCGTCGCTTTTTATATTTTCGTCTTCTAGTGTTTGGTCTTCGGTTTTTTCGGTATTATCACAAATTATATCACTTTTATTAGTTAGGTGTCCGTAAAATGTGGAGGTTGTAACTTGCACACTTGCACTGTCGGGTGGTTTATTGGGCACATTTACAGTTTGTTTATCTTGATCTTCACTTATCACATCATTGAATGTTTGTTTCATTTTATTTAAAATAATTGACTTTTCAGGCACTTTTGAGCTAACACCTCCATTGTAATGGCGTATTTCCTCATTGTTTAATATATACAACGATTCTTCAGGAACTTCCGTTTTCATATCCGAACATACATTCGAGTTACTATCTGTAACGTCCTCTTTCTTAATATTGTCTTCTTCATATCCATTTAATGAAGAGTCCACTTCAGTTTTTGGTCCGGAATTTCGTTGTGAATTATCCGCAGAATCTAATTTAAACTGTTCATCTTTTTGGTCCATTTTATCACCGGAAGCTACGTCATTAAAACTACTATCTGATTCATAACCGGATAGCTTAGACACCGACTTTTCCGATCCACTAAGATCGGAGCCTAAGCGCTTCCTTTTTCTAGATTCAGTGCTGTTCGAAAGCGAATTTTTGCGATTTTTGCCATTGCGAAGAACGGGCACAATATCAGAACGTGCATTTGTTAATTTGGCATCCACACTTTGCCTAACTTTTAATGTACGCTTCGATCTAGGCGTGGGCGCCCTTAAATTACCTACACCGTCTACGGTATTCTTAATATCTACAGAACATTTCTCTATACTGTGTCGCCTGGGGGAGGTAGGCAACAATAATTGATTAGCCTTATCTACACTAAGATCTAACATGTCGATGAGATGTTTAGCGGATGCATCCAAAGTGATTTCATCCAGCTGATTTGCTTGGCTCTCTTTTTTTACAACTCTTTTCTTTGCTACGTCCGATTTTGGTTTCCTAGTGGACGGCCTCTTCGCCCTGACCGTTTCAGTTTTTAAATCCTCCTCCTGTTTTATTTCATCAGCTTTAAGTAAATATGTTAGATCTTTAACCACATCTTCGATAGACTCTTCGGCTGTATCCATTTTAGGCTTTTTTAGTTTCTGTTTTTTGGCTATTTTTGCATCCTCCTCCGCCACAATTTGACTTAATATAGAATTAATTGTTTCATCTACACTAGAGTAATCATTAGTAGTTTCTACTTTAGCTTTCTTTGTGTTATCACCAGCAGGCACTTTTTTAATTCGTTTTTTTACAATTTTTTTTTCTACACTAGGATCACTAACTACGTTTTCTAGGTTCGCAAGTCTCGCCTCTTCCAGCCTCCTCCTTTCCATTTCTATTTCAATTTTTTTCCGTCGGACCCGTTTTGGTTTCACTCCGTTTTGCAACAGGGCCGCTTTCTTACCTTCCAGGTTATTCTTCGCATTATTGAGTAAGGTTTTAGCGATCTGTTGTTTTATTTTAACATTTTTCTTTTCCCTAGCTTTAATATTTAAGGTTAGAGCTTTACCAATTGCTTTTCTACCAACAGTCTTAGTAATTTTCTTTGACAAAGCACTGGCGTTTTTAACAGATACAGATTTAATGCCGGATTTGGTCGCCGCCGCTTTTGTAGGCTTTGTGGAAACATCTTCGCTTTGATTTGATTCAGTCTTTACAACAGTCAGTTTTGAAGCTTCAGGAGTAGACTCTTTCGATGGTACAGGCGATGAGGTCGATTGCTTTCTACCAACTGCGATTTTCTTTTCACGACCGGCCATCACATTTGTATGGTGAATTTTGGAACCTTAAACAAAAGAAACGATTTTAATTACTATGGCATTCATAGTATTGCAGATAAAAATGAATAAAAATGCAAAGCTCCCCAAGTAGTCCAGGCTATATAATATTTTTTGACAAAAAAAATTAGTTACCAGGCGAAATCAGGTTTTTCATGCAGGTGAAATGAATAGAAATTGGGACAAAATAATTCAAACAGCTGAATTTTTCCGCGGGTGAAATCGCGGGGGTTGAAAGTGGTGTTTTGCAAATTTTGGCAAAACTATTAATTTTAGACGAAAATGTTCAACGTAAAAGTTATAGAGATTAAAAAAATGAGCAACTTTTTTATCTACACTATTTTCACATTACCTCCAATTTTCCTAGAAAAACCAGAAAAACTGGTTTTTTCGTTTTTTATTCTTATTTTTGCGAAAAAAAGTCGTTGTTTTATGATAAACAAGAGGATAATTTTTTGGGTCCGTAAAGTCGAACCGTTTCCAAGATCTCATGATTTCTGAAAAAAGCCACCTCTTTTTCATGGGGATGTAAAATCTATTTTTTTTTTCATCGTACAGAGGTGCGCGGGGTAGAAAAATTTTCGGGAAGACCTATATTTTAATAAACAAAAATAAAAAAATAGTATTCCTATAGCAAAAATTCGAGAAAATCGCCAAAAACTGGAAAAACAGTTTTAAGATATACACGGTTTTTGACATGATAAATCAACATGTTGGATGTTAATAAAGATTTTTTCGTAATCTATCTTCTTGCTTCTCTTTAATGAGCGCTTAAATATTCTCTTTTGTTGTCTTATGCTCAACTGTTTTAGTTATAACATCTTTATTATTTCTTTTTTCTGCATTTTTACCACAATAAAAGCAATTCGAAATAAAATCGAATTATCTTCCTTCCCGATTCCTGAACAATTTCTTTTTGTTCACTGCCTGTTTAGCTGATGCAATTGCGTTGGGCCTGTTGATAAACTTGCAAAATCTGCAATAAGAACGTTAGTTTTACGGGTCAAATCAAATGATTTGAGATGTAAAACCTGGAACCTGGAAATTTATGATGATTTTATTCATAATTCCTGTAAATTAACGATCAACAGGCCCAGCTTAATCCCATCAGCTGTAAAACAGGCAGGAAGAAGAGTTAGTTAACAAATTGTTCAGGAAGCAAAAGAATTCGATTTTACTTCGAATTGCTTTTATTGCGGTAAAAATGCAGAAAAAAGATATAAAAAATATGTTTTAATTAAGGCAGTTGGGCACTAGGAAACAAAAGAAAATATTTTAGCAACATTAGAGAGGAGAGAGAAGACAGATTTCAAAAACTTTTTATTAGCGCGGATTCAATACGGTAATTTATTTGCAAAAAAGCCTATTTACCTACTGTCAAAATCGGTATATCTTAAAACTGTTCCCTCGGTTTTTGCCGCTTTTCTTAAAATTTTTCTATTGGAATAATATTTTTTATTTTTTATTTTTAAAATGTAAGTTGTTACGCAAATTTTGATACCCCGCGCACCTCTGTACGATGAAAAAAAATAATAGATTTTTCATCCCCTTGAAAAAGAGGTGATTTTTTCAGAAATCGTGAGATCTTGGAACCGGTTCAACTTTACGGGCCCAAAAATTATCTTCTTTTTTATCATAAAACAAGCTATGTTCTCTCCAAATTTCTAACCCCACTTTCCACCCCTTTCAACCCCCGGGATTTCACCCGCGGAAAAATTCAGCTGTTTTAATTATTTTTTCCCAATTTCTATTCATTTCACCTGCCTGAAAACCCCGGTTTCGCCCGGTAAATAATTTTTTTTGAAAATAAATTATTTTAGAGCTATTTAGCCTGGAGTAAAGTAATGATCATCTTTGATATAAATCGGAATTTTTAAAATTTATGTGAATTTTATTTATCATTGTTTAGGTCCATATTGAAGTTGTTTTGGACTGTTGTCTAAATAGGGTGGCATCGATCACGGGTAAAAGTAATTCTCATATCCTTTCCCATAAATCCTTTAATACGTTAGATTTAAATAATTTTGGATTAAAGTTAAATTTAAATTTTTTAAATACAACGTATTTAAATGATTTATGGGGAAGGTTATGAGAATTACTTTTACCCAGTGATTGAATTTTCCCTCCCGCCACGCGTACGTCAATTTACTAGTTTTAGCATTGATGGGGGGGGGGGGGGGGTCTGTATTAGTTAATGGTTTTAGTGAACATTTTTTTTATTATCCAAAACAAAATCGCTTATAGAAAGTGATAACATAAATTATACAAAATGATACATTCACAGATAATTGTAATAGGTATCGTCTGCCAGTTAATATTACAGAAATCATAATGAAAACATGATATCTAAAAGCAATTTTATCAATAAGCCATGCATTAATCACTGTTTATAGTATAGTGTGTTTGATTGTGTTTGTATAAACTATAATGGATGTTAAATTTAGACTACTGTTTAAGTTCAGTGATGTAGCGAAATTCCTTGAAATTTGAAGCATTAAACGTTAAGTTGTGCCTCCATTGCAGCAAAATCAAGTAAGAAAGTTGTACAGGGTGTTCTTGTCGAAGTTTTTCTGTGATATTTTGAGAACTAAAAGAGAGAGTTATGCGGTTTCCACCAGATTACTTTTCAAAACTACCTACATTGACCTCGTCAATTTTCACGTATGATTCGTAGTATGAAGATGAGATGAGATGATTTACCGTATGACGCGTAAATGTGGCAACAGCGCAAAAGCCCAAAAATGCAAAACAGTGTTATGTAGTTATGAGCGCGGTTATTTGTGGGAATATCAACCAAGTAGAAAGAATAAAAGTTACGTAAAAATAGTCTCTTAGAGGGTATTTTTATATTTTCCATGGCCTACTTAGCCTCAAATGGAAAGTATAAAATTTTTTTCTAATTAGAAAAATACATAGTTATCGGTAAGTTTGATAAGAAAAAATTGAGGTAGAGAAAACCGTTATTGTCTTGAAAATGTGGATGAAATACAAGTAGGCCGCGGAATATATAGTTCATATTTCAGGAAATGCAGTGTGAAATAACAGTATTTTAATACAATTTGCTCATTGATCTTTTTCAGTTCAAATTATATATATATCTAAAAGATAGTCTCTGTAATCAATATAAATCAATCTAAAGTCTGAATAAACCATAGACATAGGTTTCAGTCAGATTTGAGATAAATGAATATGAACTATATATTCCACGACCTACTTGTATTTAATCCACATTTTCAAAACTGAATAATGGTTTTTCCTATTTATCACATTTTTTTTTCATACAAACCATATTGATAACTATGTATTTTTCTAATTCGAAAAAATAAGGAATTTATTGGTGTTAAAAATGTTATACATTCGATTTAAAGAAACAAAACTTGTCGCTGTATCTTAAAAACTAAGGAGGCTATTGAAAATATCAAAATACCCCCTTACTAAGAGACTATTTTTACATAACTTTATTTCTTTTTACTTTTTTGATATTCACACAAATAACTGAGTTATAAGTAAAATTGTTTATTGCATTTTTGGACTTTTGCGCTGCTGCCCCGTTCGCGCTAGTCATACGTCAAAAGTGACATCGTCAATCTGGGCAGTAACTCCGAGAAGTGCAAGCCGCATACCTCTCTTTTAGTTCTCAAAATATTCCCGAAACACATCGAAAACAAGCAATTTGGAACACCCTGTACACAGACGGACGAACAGAAAGTTTAAGTTTCCAAAATTTTGTATTATGTGTTAATTTTCTTCAAAGATACGATTGACGGATATATGATTCCCTAGTGGCCCAACCATCCGGGAAGACACAGAGGCACATAAAACAAGTACAAATTGTGCACAACCCTTGTGCAGGTAAAGCGCATTTTTTTAACCACCCCTACGAAATTTCTTCCATAAATAAGAAAGTTGGCACTGCACATCCTACACAAAATCAAATTTGGAAAATGGCGCTACATTTTCTTTTATTCCAAGTGGCTATGTATCAAATTTCATTTGAATGCATCCATAAATAAGAAAGTTGGCACTGCGCAAAACCAAATTTTGAAACTGGTATTAAATTTTCTTTTTCGTACTTCCGGGACTAAAGTAACAACTTCACTCCATTATGACAAGTACTGAAGTGTCACTTTTTGTCCTGCCGGGATTAAAATTAGACGAAAATCCCGGAAGGATGAAATTACTAACAAGGCAATTTCAGTAGGTTGTTCCACATTTTATATGCGGCACTACTTCTTAAACGCATCGTACTGCTGCTCATATAGTTTTTTGGATTTCGGTGGTATCAATTCTTTACCTACTTTGGCCGCTTTTTATCAATATCAAATACACCTTTGTCACCCACCACCAAAATTATGACACTAGCAATGACAGTTTCCAAATTATTTTTGTTACCATGGCATAGGGATTGTCATACCAACGCAACGTTCCTATGGTAACTTGTTAAGCAGCGATTTTTTGAAAGAACGCGTTCTCTAACTCCATACATATTAAGTGTTTCGGTTTCGGAAGTACGAAAAATATCGTATATACCTTGCGACTGAAGTAGTGGTCTTAATCCCTCAGGTAAATTATGGCCCTCCCTTCGGTCGGGCCATAAACTTTACCTTCGGGATTAAAAGTACTACTTCAGTCCCGCGGTATATAATATACAGTGTGAGCAACAATGATTGAAGCGTGCGTCATCACTGCTTGTTCCTATTAATATCAAAACTACCTTCTTTGTATGGAGTTGTATACGAAAATGACGTTCTGCGCTGTCACAGTGACGTGCGTCTATTCGTATTTCGTATCTTGTATCAAATCAGCATATGCTATGAGCGGCACATTGCCAATTTAGCTGAAGCGGCACGCTTCAATCTTTGTTGCTCACTCTGTACTATTATTCCAAGTGCTTATGTATCAAATTTCATTTAAATCCCTCCATAAATAAGATAGTTGGCACTGCGCATGCGCAAAACAAAATTTTGAAACTGGCGTTATATTTGCTTTTATTCCAAGTGGCTACGTATCAAATTTTATTTAAATGCCTCCATTAATAAGAAAGTTGGCACTGCGCATGCGCAAAACCAAATTTGAAAAATGGCGCTACATTTTCTTTTATTCCAAGTGGCTATGTATCAAATTTCATTAAAATCCCTCCATAAATAAGAAAGTTGGCACCGCGCATGCGCAAAACCAAATTTTGAGAAACTGGCGTTATATTTGCTTTTACTCCAAGTGGCTATGTATCAAATTGTATTTAAATGCCTCCATAAATAAGAAAGTGGGCACTGCGCAAGCGCAAAACCAAATTTGGAAAATGGCGCTACATTTTCTTTTATTCCAAGTGGCTATGTATCAAATTTCATTAAAATCCCTCCATAAATAAGAAAGTTGGCACCGCGCATGCGCAAAACCAAATTTTGAGAAACTGGCGTTATATTTGCTTTTACTCCAAGTGGCTATGTATCAAATTGTATTTAAATGCCTCCATAAATAAGAAAGTGGGCACTGCGCAAGCGCAAAACCAAATTTGGAAAATGGCGCTACATTTGCTTTTATTCCAAGTGGCTATGTATCAAATTTCATTAAAATCCCTCCATAAATAAGAAAGTTGGCACCGCGCATGCGCAAAACCAAAATTTTTTTTAATTCTTAAAGATGCGCTAAAAATTCATCAAAATCCGTCCAGCCGTTTAGGAGTTCAGTCTACAAACACACGTACAGGTGAATTTTACATTCAGTGCTATTCATTAAAACGGAGACAAAATCCTTCTGAAAGGCGTCTAATCTTATGCAACTTCTTAAAACAAATAAAGATCTGTTTAAAGAAAGATTTATTAAGTTTTCCGTATTCAATTTATTAAAATGGTTCATTCGGATTAATCAATTCATGATCCAGCATACTGTTTCGTTACAGTCTTACTTTGAAACTTAAATTTTATTTAGACACCATTGGATTCATAAAGTACACCACAATAAGAACACGTAGTGGTCCTTCGAACCAGATGAAGTGTCAATCACGTTAATTGCATTAAAACGGCTTGAGAAGCGAGAATTTGGGTTAATTTGATTAAGATTCTTAGCCCTAATTATTTTACCTTCGCAGGTAATCAGACCGTTGGATTCTAAATAACGAACGATGCTTGTGCGTGAGATGTAAAATTCGAGTCATTCAGCATAGATGTTCCTTCCCAACTCTTTCACACATTCGCATTATTGGATTACGAAAAAGCAGAAACGAGTGTTCTTCAGTTAAGAAAAATCAATACCCGTTCACATTACCTATATAATTATCCAATTTGGGCGATATCGAACCAACCACCTAATTTTAGTTACCGTTTTTCCCGTCATATTAAAACAAAACATTACGTAAACCGTTGAATTTAATCACTTGTAATATGGGAAAAGTACTTCGTCTGTATACACCATCAAAACGAGGGCAATCGAATTGTGACAAGGCTTTTCCAAATAAATCAATGGCCCTTAATAAACTTACTTTCCATAAGACATTGGCGACTGCATTTTCATATAGAAAAGTTGTTTTTATGGAGTGCGAGATTAACAAGAATCCTACTAATCGTGTAATTAAAGCATTAAATATTTTGCAAATTTATAATTATCCCTGTAGGTGTTCATTGCAAAAGTTTTCGATGTATGTAAATATTATTCATACATCAGATACATTCGAATTCTAGTTTTCTAGTACACAATTTTATAAAAGTACACTGAAATGAGGGGAATTTCCGAAATTTTGTGTACCAAAGAAAACTTTCTTTGAAGAACTCATGAAACCACACCGATATAGTAGCACAGCCGAAACAGGGTCTTTGAACAAAAACAATTGCAAAAACAGGAGGTATAAAGTACTAATTAGGTACTATACAGTGAAAACACCTGTGGAAGCAAAAATTTTACTTTTATCGCGCATCCTAGGAAAATCGAGAATCTGACGTGTTCCACTTGCGCATGTGACTCGGTACTTTAAAGAAGAAAGAATTGAGGACACATATTTTCAATCATGTTCATCATTAAACCTAACTATACATAACGGGCGATCAAAAATGAGTTGCTGTCGAGTAGCCTTTGGAAGTTCAAGTTAAGTACGATTTCCATGTAAACAAAAGTTCCAAAGGTGACTCGACAGGAACTCATTTTTGATCGCACGGTATTAGGCTCGCCAGGAGAGAATGGCGGTCCCAGAACACTTGATGTCGGTCTACAATCGTATGTTTTTCATAGTAAACCATACGATTGGAGACCGGCTTCAGGTGTTCTGTAACCGGCATTCTGTCCTGCCGACCATTATACATATCATAACAAAGCATTCGAATTCCATTAAAACGAGATAAATACAAATGTCTACACAGTACGTGCGTTTATGGACGAGAGCATTTTTACTCCAGTTTTCATATGCAAATTAGCATTGCACGTAATTCGGCAATGATGAACAAAATTATTCATACCCAACGAAGCATTTTATAATTATGGCCCCATGACTATAGATCACAAGTACAGTTCTATGTCCCAAATCCCGAGCAAGACTAAGGTAGTGCGCAATTTGTTGTAATTGACGACCAAATCTGGCATAGTACGAAATATCATAAAGTTCCTGTGCATCAAAAGATCAAAACAATATTTTCCTGTTTTACTCACAGAAATGTTGGTGAATAAATGAATATTTTTACACGTACCTGTTTATATCCCAAGATGAATGCGCTATGTCGAAGTTGTTGAATAAATGAAGATCTGCATTTATGTTCACCTAAAGGTGTTTGTACACCATCGCTTGTCCAAAATTATGATATTTTGCAGTTTCACGACAATCGGGTTAAATAAATATTTTCTGGGCAAATTCTTTACTTTGGAGCATCCTCAAATTATTGCATTAATCACGTACTTTTCAAGTTTATACCAAGTGAGACAAAAAGCAACGTTCGATTGATGTGAAAATTTCTTACCTCTTGAATGAAATGATCTGCTAGAACCGATGAAATGGTATCTTTCAGATTATACAGTTATAAAGGTCAAAGTAATATTAAATAATCAACAAATCAAGAAAATATTACAGAACAGATTTGAAGGTCAACATTTTTTCTTCGCTTTGTGCAAATAAGATTTACCTACACAAAAAGAGAACAGATAGTTGAATTGTTTTGGTTTTCAGTGATCCCGGAGGCAATAGGCTTCTAGCGAGCCAAAGATGTTATTTATGCACCTATTTCATATAGGTGAATACCCAAAATCTTGCCCTCAAATTCGATTCGAGGTGCAGAACACACATTTCTTAAGCACATTTCTTGGACGCATAGATATCCAAACGTGGAAGAAAATACAAAGAAACCCATTTGTAGTGTAAGTGCGCTGTATTATATAAAAACTTAAAACCAAATTAACAAACTTTTAAAAGAAAATTAACTTTATCAAACGAAATGGATGGTAAAATGAAGGATTAAGTCACTTAAACACTGGGTAAATAGTTATTGGAAATTGCTCTTCTATAATCTCAAACGGTAAGATCATAATATTTCAGACCCATCTCGACGGCCCAATTTTCGGCTTCACAATGAAACAAAAATAAAATAAAATAGGAATAAAATTGGACCGGCATGCCCGCCCTCGATTTTTGATCAATATCTTCTTTCAGATTACTTGCAAAAGCAACTACTTTCAGCATGTTTAAATCCACATGGTTTCGGTCCCATAAAAAGTTAAGAAAAATTACATTGAGAGTCAATTTTTGAGCGTGTGATAATCTTATGCTCTGTATATAACCAGGGGATTGTCGTAACGAAGCTAGGGGAGAATGAAGGAGATGGTGAAGAGGTCGACGGAAGGCATCACGCGTTCCCGGTTTTTATTCTTGATTATTTTGGTGATGGTGTTTTGAAGGTGTATTTACAGGTAGTAACCATTTTATTCTTGTGTTGTAATTGAATTTCTTGCCACAATTTGATATTATTTATATTTTGCTGATTTTGCATAAACTGTCGATATCCAATTATGGTGTAACTCCGCATGCTTTTGTTTTATGAGTGCCGTTAGATGAATCGTGTTTGCTATACTGTACAGATGATTATGCCATAATTTTGTTTCTGTATTCACGAGCAGTTGATTATCAGTGCGATGTTGCTCTGTTCGATTGAATCGTAACTATTCCGTGAGGGAAGTACCTAATACAGTTTGATTGTTCGCTGTATCTGTTACTTTCTGATTCGTGGCGCGCCGCAGTTCTTGTGCGTTAGCTATACGAAAGGGGGCTCTCTTATTTGATGTTTCGATGTTTGTATGTGCGAGTGGTTAATTCTGTCTCCGTGGAGCAGGTACCTAATAGAGTTCGACCGTTCGCTGTATCTGTTGCCTACTCGTCTCGTGCGGATTATCATCTTAGCAATGCGAGATATTAGGGTCCCTCTCATATTTTACTCTATTTAAAATATGTTTTGCTTGAGCGATAATCGATTTTCACATGAATACTTGCAATTGGCATTCTCACATGTACTTTTCGTGTTAAATTAATTTATGTTAACTGAAGACTGTAGTAGAGCCACACCATTTACATGTTTCCTATGTACATGCAATTTATTATTTTACGAGTTGTGTTAGCTCAATTGATCGTACAGGTATTTTGATGTGTTTTTGTACTGAATTGAGTTATCATGTTTTCCACTGCATTTATGATGTCTTGCGTATTTTATTTTTATGAACTTGTTTAATTGCATTTGATTTGATTATCTGATTTTTATCATACAATTTGAGATGTTTTATTTATGTGTATTTTCTCTTGCATTTTATTGCTGTAGGTGATTTATTTCATGTATTTGTGTGGTTATGCCGCGGTTTTTGTCCCGTAGAAGATTTCCTTGGCATGGTCTTGTTGTGTATTTATTTGTTATTGTCATTTCTTACGCACAAAAGTTCTGTCTTTTATTTAATTCCCTCCCCAATGATGTCTCACGTTTTTTCCCAGAGTTGCCAACGGTAAGTATAGAGTAAGTCAACGTTTCAGTGTCGGCTTGATAGCCCCCTAGGAACATTACAAGCGCGAACGATAATAGTTATTTATATGTATGTTATGTATTATATGTATAACAAGAGCGCGAAGTTCAATTTCGCACTAGCGTTATATACATGGTATAATAACAAGTTATATACAATATTTTTTCTACAACTGAACCGATTGTTAATTAAATTTGCTGTTCAAGTTCAACTTTGTCATGTGTGCGAAATACTTTTTTTTTTCGGTGTCACAATGATGATTTGCCGAAAACAGTTGTACAAAGACAGTGATTATAGTCTTTTTTCTTGGTAACTAATCTCTTAAGTTGGCAGTTACTAGTTAGTACAAGTAGGTACTTCGTTGGGTACTTCCATGATTGAACTTCAAAATGTCAGTCTTACTACGCTGCCAACCTAAAACTTAACGGCATAAAAAGTGTTCCCAACATAAAACATGTTAGTTCTAATGTTCCCTATAGTTTCTGATAATGATTTTTTTAATTAAATTAAAGCACCGAAATAGAAAAAATAGTATGAAAAACGCGTGTTACAATGCTTTATTGTAATACTCCTATCTTGATAGTCGTATTACAATAGGTCGCATTGTAACACTTGTCTTTCAATATACTGTTTTCATTGTTGGCGGTTTCGCGCACGTTGCCAAGAGCAACCTTACTTATTAATTAACCGTTTAAAAATCTAGTACTTCGGGTTTCGAAAATCGTCAGAAAATGACAGGTTTTTTTTGACAGTTGTAGAAAAAAGTATTTTTTTTAGTTTTCCGCGCTACAGGCTACTACAGAGCATCATAAAAAGCAAAACTATCGATTAAACAGCATTTTATTTCATTTTTGTTGCCGATTTTATTTTGCTTCTGAGCAATCTACAATGCGTTTAGTTTTCGTCCCAAGACAAGTTCCAAAACTACTTTTTTTTATTAACAATTACAATTTAATAAGCAAAAGTGTCATTCTACAATTGGCAAATCATAAAGTATAGGATGAGTCAACGATTGCGCGGAGTAACTTAATGTCTTGAAGATAAGAGTTTTCGATAGCTTTTGTATTATGATTTACAAATATTTTAAATTATACAGGGTGCGTTCACAAAGTAGGACGTTGAAAAGGTACATTTTTTAAATGGAACCCCCTTTATTTGAATGCATTTTTTTTATTTCTAGGTGTAATTGTACGTCTTTTAGCGCACTGTTGTAATTTATTTATAAAAAGGTAGCTTTTAATCTCACTTTGGCTGGCTGGCAGGCAGTAAATGCGAGCCCGTAGAAGAATGCTTGTAAAAAGACGAGGAGTGTACATGTACCTATCGGGGCCGTGCAATTAACAACTTTAGGGACGGGGCTACAAGATGTGGGGTCGGAGACATCTGGGCGCCATCCCCGAGCGTGTTATACTAACCTGGAGATTTTTTCTTCTACAGTTTTTTCATAGGGGCGAAATACACCACCTTTTGCACCGCGCGCTTCGAAGGGTAGTCGACTTTGGGCGCCCAAAAGTTTCTTAGAGCTTGAATCGCGGTCTCTCTTTCTCGTGTCGCCAATAGAAGCTCGAGCTATGAGAAGTACCCAAAAATTGAGTACTATTTTGTGCCGAGTTTTTAGCGAAATCCACCAAAATGCGAATTGCGAGTGAACGGGACGTCGGAACTTTGTACCGACAAAGCCCCCGATAAGTTCTTATTGATGGTGGAGTTAAAACTTTAATCAAGAATTACGGGTGAATGGGATGTCAGAAGTGGACACCGACAAAGGGAATATGGTTGCTCCCGACAAGATCTTACTGATGGTATTATCACCAAAAGTTGAAGGTTTTTATAGGAACTAAATGATGACAGAAAAATATGTACAAGGTATTTGATTTTTACTTTACCCAGGATAAAAGATATATAATAGAGCTTGGAATCAATATTCAAGTTTTATTATTATTATTATTTTATTATTTTTAAAACTACAAGTTCTGTGTATATCAGACTATTCAGGTGTTGTCCCTTTTTGTAACTCAAAAAACGCATTTGAAATTTGTGAAAAATCTTTGAAAATGAGTAAGAGTTTACTTAACAAATTGCAGGAAAAATATGGAAGCGGTCTTTTGAGATTTGAATTTGTTTATGCGACTACAATAAACAATTTAAATACATTTTGCTGTTACAAATAAATAAATAAATAAGTTTCTTTATTCCCATTAATACAAAAAAGTTTATAAATAACATAAACAAAAAATTACCTAATTGGAGAAGTGGTATAATATCATTGTGGTTAGGGGAAAATGCCCAGCATAAATGAGTATGGCAATATAAATTCAACATAAAGTTTGGTTTAAAGCTCGGTTTAAAGTTACAGTAGAACGGAGAACCGCATAAGTATAAACGCTCGCATTTAAATCCATTGGATGCAGTAATCCGTTCAAAACGGTCCAGTCCGGTCCGGTTAAAATGCATAGTGTATTCAGGCACTAAGACAGAATAATTCAAGAATGTCGAAATATTGCAAAACCTACATTTGAAAAGGTTCGACAAGAGTTTTAGAATAGATTATACTCTCTTACCAATAACGGAAACCATTTTGAACATTTATTGAAATAAAAGCCAACTTTAGAAAATGTATCATATTAGTTTATTTTTTGATTTGCACGACAATTACTAACCTAAATGTAATGCTATTTGGTATGGTTGGAAAGCTTTCCAACGATGTATCACACATGGGGGGTCACTATTTGAGATTTAAAAGTTGGGGTGGCTGGGGCGCAGGGGGTTGAAGGGGGTGCGTCGCCAACAATGTCATCGT